ATAGCCAACTTCACAAAAATACAAATAAATAACATGCCACAAGGCAGGGAAAGAATTTGAGTATATTAGACATAGAAGACAATTTCAATTCACTGTCCGCCGTCACCAATTATACTAAATAGATCCATTGTACCCACTGTGCATGTTACCAAAGCAAAGTCACCAAAGAGAATACTGAGCATTCCTTACCCTGTCGTCTGCACATTCAAGCATGTCACTTTGGCAGCATTCCTTGTGGACTTTGGTAAAATTTGTTGCCAAATTGGATACTGTCCCAAAGTCAGCAAAGGGAAATTTCTGGCTCAGGCGAACTACAAACCTAAAAAGAAAATTCCCCCATAACAATTTGTTAACCTCCAATATTTTATGTGAAAGCACTAGGAAAATACTACTTATAGTAAGAAAATTTAGGGTAAAATGAAATATGGAAATAATTCGTAAAATTATTAGTTCTTATTTTAGTGCTAGTTCTGAACAAAATTATCTTAGGGCAAAATGTTTCCTTATCCATTGTAAAAGTGTGTGGCAGGTAGGGAGAAGCCAGCGATTCATAAAACCAGAAATCAAAGAGGGATTCTGAAAGAGGTCACGTCTGAGAAGCATCAGGTTTGGAGCCCATATCTGCCTTCCAGACCTGACTTTACTGTTCATTACCAGTGTGATCCTCAGAGAGTTACTTAGACTCTCTGAGCTTCAGCCTTGGAGAGACACACCGCATGCTGCATCAAAGCATTGTGGTGAGGATTAGATTAGACAATGCATAGGAAAGCTCTTTACAAACTGGAAAGGGCCACACAAACTCCAGTTGTCTTTGTTACCAATAAAAAGTCTTCTTCCTGAGTTCCGAAGCACACTGAGAAAATAAATTGCATTCCTTTTCAAGATTAAGGAGTCTAACATATTTTTACCAAGAAATTGATCCAGAAAAGTCTCTAAGCCAATAACAAGATATGAAAGGCTAACCTACACAAGCTTTCACAATCATTTCAGACTTGTCTAACTCTGGTAAAAGATACTTCTTCCCCCAAACCAGTCATAGCCTGTTTAAATGTGTATTGTTTCACATTGGGGTGGTTTTGTTTAATTATTTGCTTGATTTTGTTGTATAGATGATAGAGGTGACAAGCAAAGATAGTACAAATGATGGTTTCTGCACATCTTGCAATTTTTTTTTCATTTTATCTTTTGTTCATGTTGAATAATTGTTGACTAGCAAGTAAATTGGGGATGGGGATGGGAATGGGGTTTCTTGACTCAGATGGTGAAGGATATTCCTAGAACGAGGCAAGTTATATAAAAATAGCGGTCCAGGAAAAAAACAAGAAATGAAGAACAGAGTTGGAGCTATGAGAAAATGAGAAGTAACTTTGATGGCCCAATTTAATTATCAGAACATAAAAAACAAGCAGACAGTTTTATATAATCGCAAGGGACTCGGGCTAGATAAAGTAAAATAAAAAACCTTGACTACAATTGTATAAAAATCATGGACCATTAGCATAAGATCCCTAGTCTTTATAAATAAATGGGAGTTTAAATACCT